CCACCCAACCACCCACACTTTTCACTTTTGTCCACAACTCGCATCCCTCACCCCCGCTCTGTCACTTTCGCCCGTGACACCAACCACCACCCAGTGGCGCCCCCAGAAAATTTTCTTAGGGGTGGCCAGAAGAGGCCACACCAAATCTAGGGGTGGCAAACAAAAAAAATTATAAATTCAGTGTAATGTTATATTTTTGTTTTTGGTAAATGTAATAATGTAGTTTTTATTCATTTAATTAATTCTTCTTGAAATATTGCTATTTATACCTTGAAGTAATTCAGGAAGTACATGTGCAAACCAAATAAAAATCTATGTTAACTTTTTTACATGCTTTTATTGTACATCATACGGTATATGCCATGTCTAAAATTAATGAAGATTAATGAGTTTATTATTCCCAGAGATGGGTTGCTGCTGGAAGGGCATCCATTGTGTAAAAATGTGCTAGATAAGTTGGCGGTTCATTCCACTGTGGCGACCCTGGATTAATAAAGGGACTAAGCCGAAAAGAAAATGAATGAAAGAATAATGAGTTTATTAATAACCCAAACAAATGAACAAACTGAAACAAAAATGCATTACTATACACACTCACTATACCTAATAATATCATTTATCCATATTGCTTTTTGAGCCATTTTATTAATGCAGCTTCTATTGATATACTGTACCTTAAGGTAAATATTAAATTGCCATTGCTGTCTATTGAAGGTGTGTGACGATCAGGGAGGGTAGTGGCGGTTCTAGTTTAAATGACACCCTGGGCGAACCACCCTATACACCCCACCTCCCTTGAATTGTTAGATTTGTTATTCAATAAATATAACAATTTATTTTAAATAAATACAATTAATATTATTATACAATTATTATTCTGAATAAATAACAGAAATCAATCCTAATTATTACTGGAAAACAACAACTGGAGTGATATGCCAAGATCACTTAAGAAAACTTTTGCATGAAAATTAATTATGGCAATTCTAAAGAATACAAAAAATGTATTATAGAATTATCTGTGGTCTTAGACCAGATCATGGCTGAAAAATCATGTTATGAAGTCTTACCTCCCTGACTCATTATCCCTCCTTTCTGCTTTAAAGGCATGCTTAGTGAAAGTAACATCATCATCATATTATATAAACTTTAGTCGACTTTCTCCTCTGCACAAAAGGCTTTTACTCCATTTCACGGCGCATGAGGGGCGCGTATTTTGTCGGCGTGCATGCAAACAACCAACCGGGATTCACACAGGAGTGCGTGAGGCGCGCGGGAATGGTTTTCTGCGCGCATGCGTTAGTTTGCTTTCACCAGCATTCAGCATTGAACCACCACTAAGGGGGAGAGACAATGAATCAGCTACGTCAGTAACACCAACAATAATTTAGTGGCTGCATTTTATTTATTTAAACATTGGGGATTTATAAGTACATTTAAATCAATAATGTCAACAGCAAAGTTATATTGGGGTGGCCAAAGGGGTGGCCACAGGGGTGGCCAGAGTTTACTGAGGGGTGGCCGTGGCCACCCCTGGCCACCCCTTGGGGGCGCCCCTGCCACCACCACCTCCCCACCCCGCTCTTCACTTTCGTTTGTGAAAGGTTGTCAGAGGGTCAGTGGCGGGCAGCGGCACCCCTGGTCATCTTAAAAAACATCCACAAATCCAAGAAAAACAAAATCTGCCGTGTCCTGTTTTTGTTTTACGAGGTTGTCTAAAAGCGTGAGCGGTTTCACTTTCTCCACAGAGCTTGCCGCGTGTCTGTATTTGAAATAAGAAACTTCATGAGCTGATGATAAAAAAGTGTGCGTTATTATTGAAATGCTTCTGACATCCTTTCAGAAACAGATTAACTCGAGAGTGAACCGTGAAAAAACAAAGGAGAAGCCAAAAAAAAAAAAAACAAAGGATCAAATGATTCTTTCAGCAACTTAAAAGATGAACAGACTGCCTTGTTTAACTATTATCATCACTTTTTGGACTTTTATGAACTCTGAACTACGGAATTACTTTCTAACAGAGGTCACAAGTGCTGGTGAAGATTAAAGACACTGATGAGAGGTTTGCACATTGTAGGCTATATGTTGCATGTTGTTTTTGAACCCAAATAAGGACTAAATGTATGCTGTGTGTAGTTTATCTGGAATTGGTAACATATCGGAGACTGTAAGGGTCTATATGTGTTCATATAAGCTGCATTCATTTGTTTTTATTAAATGGCAGACATTACGGAAGGCTATTTCACACCATAATTGATCTGCATAATCAAATCATGTTCATAAAAGGTTAGTAAAGAACATTTATACACAAGTATTTATGTGTATAAATCATCTGTTTTGTGAGAAGTGCTGCTCGTATGATATGTGAACGACCCATACAGCTTTACTTTGACATTTCCTTGAGTGAGAATGACGTGAACGGAAACTTTCTCTCCTCTACTAAGCCCACCAAAAGGGTAACATTTTGGCTGTGGAAATGCAAGCCTTATAAAGGTGACCGTACCGAGCCGTACCGTACCGTACCGTACCGTACTGTACCACTCAATGGAAATGGACCATTACACTGTGTTCTGTTTGAAAATGCTGATCTGCATGCCTTTCAAAGGGTTTACTCTCCGAAGTGACAGCTTTGAGGAATGAAGGGTGTAATGTAACAAATGATAAATACTTAAAATACTGTGACTTAGTAGTTTGGAATTGGAACTCAGGAATTGTACTTTACTAAGTAGTACTTTTACTTGAGTACATTTTACTCTACTACTTTCCTTTAACTTGCATCCTTGATACTTTATTTTTGCTTGTCTATGCTGATTAAAGTAGAATAATCACTCCTGTATCTCCCATCCAATCAAATCATGCATAGAAAAATGTCATGAGACAGACCAACCTCAAGACATGGACATGGAGACTGTGTGGAAGCATAACAAATGTCCTAGAAAGAGCAAAATCGTTCCTGACAACATCCTAGAGTGTTTAGACTGTCACTGAGGATAAGATGAAGGATGCCTAGAGTACTGTATGATGACTAAAATTGCCAAATAGCCTTAAACAATGACTATATGCACTACAGAATGTTACATTTTCAAACACATGCACAAATGGCATATATTCAGTGCTGCACGAGAGGGGTTTGCGGCTCCAAATACTTGATACACATAGCATGTTAGTCAGGGGCCACACAGTGGATGCCCTTTCAGCTGCAACCCATCACTGGGAAACACCCATAAACTCTTATTTACACACATACACTACGGACAATTTAGCTTACCCAATTCACCAATGCTGCATGTCTGTGGACTTGTGGGGGAAACCGGAACACCCGGAGGAAACCCACGCAAAAACAGAAAGAACATGCAAACTCCACACAGAAATGCCAACTGACCCAGCTGAGGCTCGAACCAGCGACCTTCTTGCTTTGAGGCGACAGTGCTACCTGCCTCTGTAAGTATTTATATTATTCTTATTTATTTTATATACTTTTTTTATAACTCATAAATCCAACAGACGTAACCAATAGAAAAATACTTTACACACATTTATAGGTAAAGGTGAACTCTGAGACACCCGTTAGACTCCTGTTGATATCCTGTGACACCAAACAAGTTTCCTGTGCAAAGGTTTATGGATATCTGACGTGTCCATTAGTTGTTCCTTTTGAAACTCTTCACTCTGAAGGGCCCTTCGAAGTATCCAGTTTTGAGCACTTTGGTATGGATTGATACTTCAATATGGGGCTATAATTGTTTTCACTCCAAGGAGCCCTTTAGAGGGCGATATATCTCATTTGGAACACCGATATAAAGTTGTCATTCATACGTATATGCAATTACATGACACCAGAAGATTCACAAAATCAGATTTTTGTCGTTCACACAGAGATGATGATGGTATAATTTCCCAAAACTTTGGGTTCGTTTACATGACAACAATGTCATTATAACCATCCCTGATGGATTGAAATATATATTTTATATATGCACATACTGCATGTAAAATTAATCAATTATCATTCAAATTCAGCTCGGAGGAGGATCAAATATCACCCTGTTTAGGACAAATGAATAACTTTTTTTTTTTTTTTTTTTTTAGAATAAAACTGCTTAACAGACTTTACTGAAACCACAATGACACTAAATTATTTGTATGTTATTGCTGACTTACCCAAGAAATGCTGGCACAGAAGGTCTGTTAAATAAAAAATTTAATGTATTTTTCTACATATTAAAAATATATATAAACATGTTGATGTTGGCCACATCAGATTGACAAGATAAAACCATTAACAAAACAGAGGCTTTCACTGACCTGTCTCTGTTGTTTTCCTTTCAAGGAATTGATGTTCAAGTAATTTCATTGTTCCATTTAAAGGGCCAGCAGTCAAATATAAAAGGGTGAATAATAATTTGCAACACAGGCTTGTTGGAAATATGCGCTTCAGCCTACTTTTTTGTTAAACCACGTTAAACATATTTAAATATTAGTTTGAATGCAGTTTCTATTTAAATGAATGCTATGGGGCATTATGATGCCAACAACCTTTGTTCCTTTTAACACTAATTATTTTGACATTATTAATGAATAAAGGATTATTCTCTTGCAGTTCTTTGCAGAACACCACATAAGGCCACAAAACACTGAAATGTTTTGATTTGTAATCGAATACATTATCTCCATATGGACAACTTTTCTGGAATTGCTAAGCCTGCTTGTGCTTAAATGTGTACAAGAAGGATGTAGATCGGAAATGTACAACAAAACACACCCTATGTAATATATTTTAAATTAACAAAAATGTAGACAGCGCCCTCTAGTGGTTTTGTCATCTAAAATGTGCAATGAAACATACCTGGAGCCATGCATTTTACATTTCACATACATATAGGCTGATGCACATATTTCCAATGAGCCTGACAAGCTCAAAACCTGCTATTTCGTGAACATATTGCTTGAAACAATAGAAAAATACCACTAGCATAAGAAAAACAAGACACTGCACAAGATTCACAGACAAGAAGTAACTTTAATTTAATATTGTGAACTTTGAAAAGTTATTTTACAGCTTTCATCAAAAATGATAACAATCTATACAGTAGTTTTTGTCTTGAGTTTTCCTATCAATAGAACGGTTCAGGGTGTATCCAGTCAAAAAAAAGAAAAAAACAAAAGAAGAAGAAACAAACAAACAAACAAATAAACAAAAAACACAAGAATAGGAGGCAGAAAAAAGGAGACCAGCTTTTTTTGGTTCGAGTCTTGTGTCCTATCAAATGCTTGTCCTTTTATGAGTCCATTTTAACAGCAAAAGTAACAAATGTTTTTTCAATTATGGAAAAGAAATCATGTTGAATATTCAATCATCAGTCATTTCTGATAAAAAGTCCTCATACAAACTTTAAATCAGCATATTAAAAGCCATTTTTGTTCGATGGCAGATTGCAGACACACATTAGGTGAGGAGAAAAAAAAAAGAGCCTGAAGACCGATCATCAAGGGCCGATTCGGCTGACAGTAGAATTAAACGCACAGAGTCACAGCGTTAAAGACTGGGATTCAGCACCTCAGCTCCGAGGGCAAGGCCTTGTGCTCTGATAGAGTCACTTTATTCAGGGTGAGAAATACATCAGCGGTACCTTAAAGAGTGAACAACATCCCACGACCCAGAACATGCAGCTTCACATGCACCTCCAGCCAAAGAGCGAACGAAAGGTGACAATGCTGAATATGGCTTTGAGCTTCACCCCATCGTGAACATAGCAGACATAAACCAACAACAACAACAACAAAAAAGAGGCAGCCTTTTGCTTTAAATGAAAGAAAGTGCAACCCATCCCACAAGCAAATCATAAAGACTCTTTATATTCCTTCAAATTCCCTTTTCATGATTCTTCATTAAACAAACAACAACAACAAAGACAAATTTATTTAATTCTCCTCAGTTAACAGACCATTTTGTGCTTTTTATGAAAAGTTCACCCAAAAATGTTCACCTGTTAAAGATGCAGGAGCCTATTTTTCATCAGTAGAATGGTAAAGATGTTTTTCAAGTTGAAACTGCACACATAATGTTTAATGCAAACTTGTGAGCAGACGCTGTTTGTTTACAACAGAGATGGATGATACCTGTTTTTGTATTGTTAATCAAAATAGTACTTGTGCTTATCCTGGATACTGCAATCTTTATAAAAAGATGTAAACAAACAGTGTTTGAGTTTGCATTCACACATCATTATACAACAAGAGCTCACTCTGTGTTGATTGAAGGTAATAATGTCTATACACGTTCAGAAATAAAGATACGCAAGCTGTCACTGGGGTGGTGCGTTTTCAAAATGTACACATTTGTACTTGAAGGGTATATTGGTACCTCAAAAGAATATATTTGTACCTTAAAACACTTTTGTACTTTTTAGGTACTAATAAGTACCCTTGAGGTATTAATATGGACAGCTCGCGTACCATTATTTCTGAGAGTGTATATATATATATATAAATACACACACACAAACTGGAATTCGATACCAATCGGTACTGAAATTTTAACAAGGTCCATGTTTCCGCGAACATTTGAGTGCTGCTGATCATGTTCCTAAACTGCTGATTTGCCGTTGTGTTCATGTGCTCAACAAAACAAACTGTGATTGGCCGTGAAGGTCATCAGCTCACCGAACTCATCGCAGTTTGCTGAGTGTAACTACAGATAAAAAGACACTGGAGCATTTCAAAGTCTAATCAGTCAGCTGGTTTATCTGTAAACTGACATCCGAGCAATCCGCGGATGAATCATAACTTTAAAACTCTCCAGTGTTTCTATGTCTGTGGTTACATACAGTAAACAGCTGTGAGCTCGATAAACCGTTGACCTTCACGTCTAATCACAGTCATTTCTGTTAAGCATGTGAACACAATGGCAAATCAGCACTGTTTAAAAATGTGTGCAACAGTTCTTAAATGTTCTTGGGAAACAGACATTTTTTAATTTCATTACCGACTGGTATCAAATTCCAGTACCATTACAACCCTAATATATATATGTGTGTGTGTGTGTGTGTGTGTGTTTATATATATAAGAGTTGTCACGATACTGGAATTCTGATACAGATATATATATAGACCCTAAAAGTTGACTTGCATTTTATGAATCATAGAGTACACTGGTTTCAGCTAATAATCTTCTTTAATTTCCCACTGAGGAAAAAATAGAACCTCTAGGATGACCTGATGGTGAGTAAATAAACAGCAAATGCTCATTTTTGGGTGAACTGTCCCTTTAAGGAACTCTGTGGCTACTGCTATTGGTGGTGGTGGTTGTGAAGACTGTACAAGTCATTGTACATTTATGGGTTTGCATTGTTAAGGCATCTATACTGCTGGTACTGATATGCGTGAAAGAGAGAGAGAGAGAGAGAGAGAGAGAGAGAGAGAGAGAGAGCGAGAGAGAGAGGGAAATAGGAAAGACGGATTTATACGCAGGCATAAATAATCAGATAAATAAAAGAGTAAAGGAAAGACAAAATAAAAAGTAAAAACTTCAGAAACGTCCTTCTAAGGTTTGACACGCAAAGTAAAAGCCATCACTCTCAGAGAAGAGCCCATGCATATTATTATTACAATAATACAGATTCTGTAGAAAGAAAAGATATAGATTTATATATTCATCATTTATATTTATATATATATATAACTTTTTAAAAAATCTACATAACTAAATGCTGTGAGATGCTACTTTTTGCCATACATTACAAAAATTCCAAAAAGAAAAAAACAAATTTCTTTTTAACTTACAAATTATACAAAAATAGACAATGGCTTTTTTATGAATAGAACTTAAAATAAAAAATGGAAGCTTGACATGATACAAAACATAGACCTACAATAATAAACACAAGGCAGATGATGAAAGAGGACAAATGGACAAATCATCACAAAAAAAAACTTCCACAATCCCAAAAAAAATCAGGGAGAAAATCAATATACAAAATCTGGATATACATACATTATTTATATGGATATTTTACAGAGACTCCCCTCTTTTTTGTCCAAAAAAATCCATGATTGGTGTTTGCCGAAGATTTTATGGTGTAACCTATGCAATGAACCATCGTCAGTGTTATTATGAGCTGCCTTGAGCCATTCTGATATCAATACAAATAAAACGAAGACTTTGGCAACAGAAAATATATGTACAAAAACAGACGACTACCAAAGTGAGCCAATCAGACTGCTGTAGGTTGGGTGTTTGACACATTAGGAAAGCGTTCTTCATACAGTGCTGTCTTAAAACAAAAAATCATCACTAATTCAAGTCATGTCCCCAAAAACAAGCACACACACACACACACACACACACACAAAAATCAAATAAAAAAAAGGGTTGTTCAAACAGTCGGCTCTCAAATATACTTCATTTAACCTATATCCTTCACTAGCGAACACAGCAAACCAAACACATAGAAATTGATATCACAGTTTCAATTGTTTTCAAAGACAAAGCGAAATTTTAAAATAATTATAATATTAATAATAAAATCAATCACATTCCTTGAGCACACATTTAAAACCAAAACTTAAATGGCATGGCAACTGAAGGCTTTTATTCCTTCCAGTCCATCTGTTTACTGCATATCTCTGCTCTATTTAGCAGCAAATATTTGCATGAACATAAATACTGATTTCTTGTAGAAATTGGGTCGCTTTTTTTCTTCTTCTCTTTGAGGACGGATCTGAACATTGAAAAATTACAGCATGACAGCATTTAATAACTCTTAAATAGCTTTCCTTCATCGTAGCCATCCAAACCGGCTGGTACCCAGATGCTTCATATGACTCTTCGCTTAAAAAAAAAAAATGATTAAAAAGTGAATATGGCGCTACAATTTCATTTAGTGAGAAAACAAGCAAGATTATGGCAAAAATGTTTGTTGGCTTCCCTCCCGTCTTCTGTTCTGCATTCAAAAGATTGGCCTAATGTTCTCATTTTATATAAAAAACTGGTCAGTATTAACAGAGATCTGTGCTGCTCTCAGGAACATCGTGGATTCAACCGCTCCTAAAGTGTCACAATTGTGTGAGAAAGTCTGTAAAAAAGGCATGTGATCATTGAATTAGTCAAAAAACGAAAAAAGCCCATGAATGAAACGATCCTTCCCTCTGTTTTCCACAAGTCCTTCGCAAGGGCTGTCCAGAAATGAGCTCAAAAACGAACGCAAACAAACACTTTCTTCCCATAAAATGAGATTCCTATGTCAAAAGGCCTGAGTTTTAAAAAGTTCAGTTTTCATGTCTCCTCCGCCAAGAAATTGCCTTCGGCTCAAGAGCGTAGATTCTCTGGCCGGGGCTGAAATCAAATGTGCCTCTTCAGCAGCCCAGGAGCCCCTACATTGGAGGAACAATCATCCCTGGGATCACTAGACAGAAGAGAAAAAAAAAGGAGAGAGTGAGAGTGAGATGTGGGATTATTTGGTTTCATTTGTCATTCAACAATGCCAAAAGAAAAGCACATGGAAAGCATGTCTTGCCCAGGCAACATGAACAAATAATACAAGACATAAAGAGAAGAAATGTGAAATATTGTATTGCTTTGTGCTGACTTTACAATATACATCCGACAACGCCAATACAGCTATTTTAGTATTATTTATATACATTTTTAGACATATTTTGAACTAGCGGTTATATTGTAATTTTAGTTTAGCAGGGGGGCATAGTGGCTTAGCACTGTTGCCTCACAGCAAGAAGGTCGAGTCCAGGCCGGGCCAGTTGGCATTTCTGGGGGTTTGCATGTTCTCCCCATGTTGGTGCTCCAGTTTCCCCACCAGCCCAAAGACATGCTATAGGTGAATTGAATAACCTAAATTGGTTGTAGTGTACGTGTGTGAATGATTGTGTATGGATGTTTCCCAGTACTGGGTTGCAGCTGGAAGGGCATCCGCTGTGTAAAACGCATGCTGGATAAATTGGCGGTTCATTCCGCTGTGCAACACCTGATGAATAAAGGGACTAAGCTGAAGGAAAATGGATGAATGATGACAGAAGTGTGAACTATCCCTTTAAAAATGAAACTGTTCAAATGGAGGGGTTAACTAAAAACAGTGCCAACGGAGCACATCTAAACCACAGGGTAGAAATATGGCTTCAATCAAGAGAAGAAGCAATGGAGAGGCCTAACGAAGGCAGTCAAATATCCCATAATTCACCATGCTTTCGATCACGCTGAAGCCGCACATTAATCAGAAGGTTGTAGAATTCCCTGCGAGTGGCGGAGGATAATCTTTATTCTGTATGATCCACATAAGGTTGCAGGTCGTCCGTGTTTAATTGGAGTCATTGTCAGGATAAATAGTGACTTGCTTTACAGGCTGTATATCAGTCTCCCCATCAGGGAGCCATTATATGAACAATTCATCAATCCAATTAGTGATAACACTATAGGACGGCTTCGCAACGCATTAGCTAATGCTTCTCTCCCATGAGGGCAAAGCTGGAGATGTTCAGGATATTCTTACAGTTGCATTTACATCAAGAGCGTAGAGGACAAACTCAGAGCGCTTTACCTGCAGTTGTTAGCTATTTTTACTCCGCCAAATGACATTCATTGGTGTAACCCACTATAATCCAGTCAGATTCGATAGTTTTATAAAACATGCCATTTAATAGAGACACAGCAGACAAAAATAATACATAAAAATTCATGCAGCAATTTTGGGCTTTTAGTTTTTTTTTCTAAAGTATTTTTCCAGTAATTTTTTTTGTGTTTTTTATCAAACTTTATCAATTTGTGTTTGTAGATTTTATTCACGCTATATATATTTTATGGGTGACAAGGGTGCACAGTGGGTAGCGCTGTTGTCTCACAGAAAGAAGGTCACTGGTTTGAGCCCCGGCTGGGTTAGGTGGCATTTCTGTGCGGTTTAACAGAGGCATGTGTTCATATTTATTGTTTTTTGCCTGATTATATAAAAAATCTGTTCAATAAATGCAAAATGTGATTTTATTTTTTCTAGTCACAGAATCTCTAGATCAGAATCATTTCATTCATTCATTTTCCTTTAACTTGGTCCCTAAATATCAGTGGTCACCACAGCGGAATGAACTGACAACTATTTCAGCATATGTTTTACGTAAAAGATGCCCTTCCAGCAGCAACCCAGTACTGGAAAACACCCATACACTTTCACATTCACACACACACACTCATACACTTAATCCAATTCACTTATAGTGCATGTCTGGCCCACCCGAGATTCGAACCAGCGACCTTCTTGCTGAGAGGCGACAATGCTAACCACTGAGCCACCATGCCGCCCTTCCATTGACTCTAATATTTATTTATTTATTCATTCATTAATTCATATTCTTTTCAGCTTAGTCCCTTTATTAATCAAGGGACGCCACATCGGAATAAACTGCCAACTTATCCAGCATATGTTTTACGCAGCGGATGCCCTTCTAGCTGCAGTCCATTACTGGGAAACATCCATACACACTCATTCACACACATACACTATGGACAATTTAGCCTAATACCTAATGCCACATCACTTATTACAATTAGTTCCAATTAATAGCCAAGAGACACAAGGAATATATAAGCTGTCCATTCTTTTTATTTATTTGGTTGCAGGTACTAACACAGATGTTCAACCACCACCCTCACCACCACCATCAGGTTGGCCCTGTCCAGGGGGGAAGGCTCCGCCCGGCCTTCGTCCTCCGCAGTTATAGCTGGATCTAAAAGCTTCTAAATCAAGCTACGGACAGGGTCTCCACCAAAGAAATCCTTTGTTTTGTTGAATGATACTTTTGTCAAATAATACTCATCATCAAATGTAATTCAATATCATAATTATCTCCCTACTCTTTAGTAGTGCATTGCACCTATATAGTACTACCCCAGCAGGGACAAAACATCATAAGATGTTTAAAATTAGGTTAGATTTAGGTTGTGACGTCAGGTGACCACAATTCAACGTCTAGTCAGCGTCTAAGGACAATGTTATTTTGACGTCCACTAATGAGGTCAAATTACGTTGATATGTGGAGGATTTTAGGTTGTGTTTGAAAGAAACCAAAGTTCAACGTCTAATAGATGTCATAGTGGTAACGTCCACACAACGTCAAGGTGTAACATGATTGGACATTGATATTTGGTTGATTTTTATGTTAGACATTGACGTCAGCCTGATGTTGGATTCTGAGGTCAACCCGATTTTCATTTTCAAACAAAATCAAACATCCCCACGACGTCGGCTATGTTGGAGTACAACGTCAATATAACATCATGGTGACGTACTGTGCCTGCAGGGACTTTATATACACACTGAACACCCCAAAGAACAGCTGGAGACCCATTACAGGTTTTTATAGGTTCTATTGAGAACTTAAAGGGGTTCTATTTAGCAATATGTTTAAAAAAATTATGTAAATTAAATGTAATTATAATTAAATACAATTAAACCAGTGTTTCCCAACCCTGTTCCTGGAGGCACACCAACAGCACATATTTCAGAGGTCTCCCTTATCTGACACATTAACTTCAGTTTTGGAGTCTCCTCTTATGTTCTGATGAGTTGATTTAGGTGTGATTGATAAAGGAGAGGTTGAAAATGTGTACTGTTGGTGTGCCTTCAGGAACAGGGTTGGGAAACACTGAATTAAACAATATTTTTGAATCAACTTTTTAGATTTTTTTGTAGTAGAAATCTATTTAAATTGGCACACATTAAACAAAATAGTGACTTATTTGCATATTTGAAGATCACATCTTAGAAAACATATAATACAAAAATATCTTACCGTCTTTATATTTAGCTTTTATATAACTTCGTCAGTGTTTCAATGAGCGACTGAGTGTTTACTTCATGAGCCTATAGGGACCTACGCACATTTAGGCAGCCATCTTTTTTTACAAGACAAATTACAAACAAACAGCTATGCAAATAAAAAAAAACTGCACGCAGTATATACACAGTCAGACCGAAATTAACATGCTTGCCAACACTTAAACAAGAATAGCTTTAGCTTGGATAAATAATTTTGGTTCTCAAACATTAAACAGCGTTCAGTCAAACAGTGCTATCACTTATATTCATTACAGGCCAGATCGTTCTCTCTCTTTCTCTATCACTCTCCTCATTCAGCAGGCCACCAGATTTTTCATGTAACATATTGGCTTCCTATTGATTTCCTCTCTCTGGTCCCTCATCTCTAATTCCTGGGTTATTTCCTGAGTGTCTCTGCTTCATTTGGAATGAGGCGGGATGGGGGGGTGAAATAAAAAATGAGTGGTGACCGACAATCGGTCATCGGGTCAGAGTGCTGAGTGCATATCAACATGCGGAGAGGAAGCACTCCACGCTCGCAGATAAGAGATGTCTGCCTCGAACGCTCAATTACTTTAATATTGTCTCACGGTGGATGTCTAGATATTTCAGATCAACACCCAGGGCCAAATGCTATACGTGGAGTAATTGTCATAAATCACAGGAAGAGGATTATGGCTTTGTTTCAGATAACACTGAACATAGGTCTTTATAGATGTCACACAAGCGGTTTTATTTAACGTGCTACGGTCTGGGGGAATCTCAAAACAGAGTAGGGAAAGAAAGAAAAAGCATTGTTGGAAATGTTGTTTTTTGTTTTTTCATTTCATTTTCATTTTTAATTTTATTGTTTGTGTCACACAAGTGGTTTTATGCAGCCTGCTATTACAAGGATATATACCAATAATAATGAAAATAACAAAATGAGGAAATGTCATTGTTTATTTTCATGACCTTATTTTATACACATATTTACTTGCATTAGTTGTCTATATCAGACATTTTTGGTTAAAAAATAAAAATAAATTAAATTAAATTTCATAAATTAAAATAAAAAATAAAACTACATAAAAAGAAAAAACTAAATAAATGAAAGAAAATAAAAAGAAAAAATATTAAAATAAAATGCAATACAATTTAATAAACTAAAATTTTGAAAGACAATAAAAAATAGAATAAAATGCATAAAAATGTAATAAACTAAAATTTTATTAAATAAAAGAAAAGAAAAAAGTAAAGAAAAATATAATTTAAATAAAATACAATAAAATTTAAGAAAATAAAATTAAAAAAAAATTAAACTAAAATGTAATAAAAGAAAAGAAAAGAAAAAAGAAAAGAAATTAAAAAGTACAAAATATTTAAAATAAAATACAATAAAATTTAATAGACAATAGTTTAATTAAAGAAAAGAAGAAGAAAAGGAAAATTAAATGAAAAAAATATGATAGATTTAATAAGCTAAAATTTTAATAAATCGAATAAAAAACATTAAATTAATTAAAAATTGTTAATAAAAGAAAATAAGTAAAAAAATATAAAAATAAAATAAAATTTAATAGACTATAATTTAATAAAAGAAATGAAAAGGAAAATTAAATGAAAAAAATATGAGAGATTTAATAAGCTAAAATTTTATGAAATAAAATAAAAAAATAAATAAAATGAATTAGAAAAGCGTTAATAAAAGAAAATAAGTAAAAAATATTAAAATAAAATACAATAAAATTTAATAGACTATAATTTAATAAAATAAATGAAAAGGAAAAATAAAATGAAATAAAATGTAAAAAAGTGTTTTCAATATTTTTCTGTTTTACTTTCAACAGTGAAAAGTTTGCATTTTGCAGTTTTTAAACCTATGCATTGCTTAATTTTTATTTATATTGAGCATAAACATCAGTTTTTCACAAAAAAAAAAAAAAAATCTGTTTTCAGAAGTGCACATTACCTAACTTTGTACATTAGTATCTGACAAACCCCTTATAACTTTACATTCCACAGCCACCAGCAAACTCTGAGTATCAGTGAGACAGGAAACAGGAAGTCAGGCAGGAAATGAAACACACATGGCCTTGCGAACGAGCACAAGTGAGGAGAACGAGGGCGGATGAAGGCAGAGGAGGCTCTGACAGTCATGCTGATGGATGGCTTAATGGACAGAAAGACAGGATGATGAAGAAAGAGTGTGAGACAGGTGTAACATACTTCAGGAGAAGGCCAGTCCCTGCAGGGAGCTGGCGGTCGAGTACTTGCTAGAGTCCACAAAAGATTGATCTACTGGAAGCAGTGAGGAAGCAGGGGGAAGAAGATGAAGGAAACAGAGAGAGAGAGAGAGAGAGAGTTATTTTTTAAAGAAGAATTGGGTCAGAGAAGCAAATGCAAAAAACAGATTACTGCAAGTTAGGACAAAACTGACAGCTGTCTAAACGTTAGATGGTTGTAGATCAGATGTTCTGGAGCTCAGGTTTAAAACAACTGAGCTGCATCACTGCACTTTTTAAGCTCTTAAAGGGATAGTTTACCCAAAAAATATTCTATTTATTCACCCTCAAGTGATTCCAAACCTTTATGAGTCTCTTTCTTCTGTTGAACACATGTTGTGAAGAAAGCTGAAAACCTGTGAGTTCCCAGCAGACACAAAACATCACAAGATGTTAATATTAGGTTAGATTTAGATCGCCAGCGTCAAAGGACAACATCAATATGACAACCAATAACAACGTGAAATGACATTGATATTTTAGGTTGTGTCGGAAAGATATGGCAACCAAAATACAATGTCTTATAGACGTCATATTTGTAACGTAAACATAACGTCAAGCGGTAAATTGATTAGATGTTGATATTTGGTTGATTTTAGGTTGTGATGGAAAGTGCAATGTCGAGCCAATATCTTAAACCAATGTCATACTGACGTCAAATACTGAGGTTTATTTTTCATCAGGTATGGCAACCAATATAAAATGTCCGATAGACGTCATTTTGAAAACAGCCAGACAATGTCAAGCTGTAACATCATTGAATGTTGATACTTTGTTGTTTTAAGGTTACGTTGGAAAGTGCAACATCGAACCAACATCTTAATCCAATGTCATATTGACATCAAATACTGACAATTTTTCATCAGGTATGGCAACCAAAATCCAACGTCTGATAGACGTCATATTAGTAACTTCCACACAACGTCAAGTACTAACATCATTAGACCTTGATATTTTGTTGTTTTTAGGTTGTGCTGGAAAATCCAACGTTGAGTCAACATCTTAAACCAATGTCAAATTGATGTCAAATACTGACAATTATTCGTCAGGTATGGCAACCAAAAACTACGCCTGATAGACCTCATATTGGCAACGTCAACACATCAAGCTGTAATGTAATTAGAGGTTGATATTTTGTTGTTTTCAGGTTGTGTTGGAAAGCGCAATGTTGAGCCAACATCTTAAACCAACTTTATATTGACGTCAAATACTGGCATTTATTTTTCAGGTGTGACAACCAAAATTTTACGTCTGATATTCATCATATTGGTAATGTCCATACAACATCAAGTTGTATCATCATTACACCTTGATATTTTGTTGTTTTTAGGTTGTGTTGGAAAGTAACAATAATACAATGTCTGTTGTTGGACATTGACGTTGACCTGACCCAGGGCCGGAGTGGGACTCCTTTTCAGCCCTGGAGTTTCAAGCCTCAGACCGGCCCACCTCAGTTCACGACTGACTACATTAAAATAAGGTCATTTCCAAATCAGTTTCTAATGACACTATCACGTATTTTTTTTAGAAAACAGCTGCTTTAGAACTTCAAATGTTCAACAACTTTAACAGTATTATATGTCTTAACAATAAAAATGAAAAAAAAAAAAAAACCTACTCAGACGAAGATCAAAGCCGGGTCCGCAGTGTCATAGCCTAACGCGCTAACCACTGGACCACAACAACTGTGCGTTAGAAGTGGCTCGTCTTAGTTATATCATCATTAACCAGGCTGCGAGAAAATAGATAAAAAGAGCAAAGCTTTGGTAAAATAATTAATAAGAAGACTGTGGTCAAGTAAAAAAAATAATTAATGTAAAAAGTGTGACTGCTGAGAGCAACAGATTCTGGAGCTAGGGACAACGGCCCTCGCGGCCAAAAAACGCACCGGCCCACCGGGAATTCTCCCGGTCCTCCCGATTAGCCAATCCGGGCCTGACCTGACCTAATTGACCTTAATTGACGTTGACCTAATTCTGGCATCAACCCAATTTAAATTTTCCAAAAAAAAAGCTGCGTCCCACAACACTGGGGTAAAACAAAAATCTGAGGTCATGTTGACATCCTGTGCCTGCTTAGAATTGACTTCTATAGTAAAGTTTTTTCAAAGTCAATTTTCACAGGTTTCCAGCTTTCTTCAGAACATCAGATTTTGTGTTCAACAGAACAAAGAAACTCAAAGTTTGAGAAAAGAAAAACACTACTTTTGTTAAAAGAGCATTTAGAAATAACACTGCAGGGCAAAATGCATATATAAAAACAACACATATATATAATGGTTCAAATCAAAGTTTTGCCTCATTAAACTTTTTTTCATGACATTTTGCCAGAATATCCTTTTGATGAAAAATGATTTTGAAATAGTGAAATAAATAACCCAATCAATCAATCAATCAATCAATCAATCAATCAATCAATCAATCAATCAATCAATCAATCAATCAATCAATCAATCAATCAATCAATCAATCAATCAATCAATCAATCAATCAATCAATCAATCAAATCAATTAATGTTTTTCATCATATAAATTCAGTTTGTGAGTGAAAGAGATTTCTTTAAAAAACATCTAACCCACTCTTTGAACTATATGGGCCAAAGTAAAGGGTGTGAAGCATCAAAACATTAAAAGCAGCTTTAATTTTCAGTTTTACATTTTGTATTTATAAATATGTAATGATTGCAGTAAATTTTAAAAAACAAAAACACAGTTTTATAGTGATTTTCTTCACTTTTCTTCATCCTTATATACTACTTATCTACTTTCAGTCAGATTTTCACATTTTTGCTTGCCCTTTTTTGGGGAGGGGGGTAAGGTCAAACTGTATATTCTGTGGCCCGACTCACCTTGGAGGCCGTTTCCATTGGCACTGGTGCAGGTTGGTGGCGGTGAGGCCTGGGGCCGCACGACGGGAGCGAATGCGCTCTTTTGTTTGACTGCAGACACCATGTTGGCCGGAGAGAAAGAGAAGATGCCTGAGGAACTGCTGCAGTTGGAGGGAAGACTAGTGGAGGAGGCCATGGTGGGACTGGAAGGAACAACTGAGGGACAGGAATGAACGAGAGGGGAAATGTTTTAGGATTGGCCAGAGCAAACCTCAGAGTTCCATAATCAACACAATGGAGGGGGACTGAACACAGACCTAAAGCACACCCAGATTTGATAGTAGAGGCAAATATTGATGTAAATGGGCATGATGACAATAACTATTGATATTAGATTATTGGTAAAACCAGCTATTTTGTCCAATACAGTTATAGTTGAGTTCAGAATTATTAGCCAACCTGAATTACTAGCCCCCTGACTATTTTTCCCCAATTTCTGTTTAACGTAAAGAACATTTTAACACATTTCTAAACATAATAGTTTTAATAAATCATTTCTAATAACTGATTTATTTTCTCTTGGCCATGTTGACAGCACATAATATTTGACTAGATATTTTTCCACATACTAGTATTCAGCTTAAAGTGCAACCTGAAGGCTTAGCTATGTTAATTAGGGTAATTAGGCAAGTCACTGTACATAACGATGAATGGTTCTATAGACAATCTAAAAAAATTATTGCTTAAGAGAGCTAACAATATTGACCTCAAAATGATTTTTAAAAATCAAAAAATATTTTATTCTAGCCAAGATAAAACAAATAAGACTTTCTCCAGTAGAAAAAAATATTACAGAAAATACTGTTAAAAATTCGCTGTTAAACATCATTTGGGAACTATTTTATAAAAGAAAAAAAATAAATCACAGGAGGGCTAATAATTTTGACTTTAACTGCATATGTGAAATACTGTATTTTCCAGAATACAAGTAAAGCTCTATAATAATTCAAAACAAAGTTATTTTACACACTACCTCGTCAAAAAAGTTAAAACTTAAGACTGAATCTTTAATACTGGCAATAACAAAGGAACATCATAATTCAACACCCTTAACGTTTCTCTGATTCTGACACTTAAAGTTTACCCACAACCCAAATAGAACCATCATGTCCAAAATTGAATATAAACAGGCCATTGGCTCAATTTTAATTAATAATGGATATGCCGTAGAATACTATAGATTCTGTAAAGTCGACTCCAGTACATCCAAAATACATTCAGCATGGTTCAAGTCACTGGACAATTTGTCATAAAAAATTGGGATTTGTGTAGCTTGGCTGTTCATGCATTACATTGCAATAGAAATCATGGGTTCTTCTTGCAAATCATAAGTATGTCCTGAGGAACACATTAGAAAAAAGAAAATCTCCAGTTCACACATCAAACTGAAGCTTTTTACGTTTTTACATTTTAGCGTGGATCTGTTTTCTGGCATGACTTTTTAAAAAAATAATTCACCCAAAACTGACAATTCTGTCATCCTCACCCTTCCTTCTCACAAAAGAAGATAATTAGAAAAATGTTGGAAACTGGTAACCAACATAACTTTCACTATTTATTTTCTTACTATGTGAGTCTTGGTTTATAACATTCTTCAAAATATCTTATTTTGTGTTCAACAGAAAAAAAACTAAAATCCTAAGGGATTGTAACCACTTAAGGGTGAGCAAACACTAAGAAATAAAAAGCTTCACACCGCATCAGTGAGGGTTGAACAAATGCAAAACATACAAGGCAAAGACATATTAATCACCGCAATAAAGATCCAATCATACAGTCGTGAGTATTTGCTTACTTAAATCCAAACAGCCCGGCCAGCCAGTGTATTAACATCAAGGAAGCAAAACACGCAAAGGCCTCATACGTTCAGACTGGTGTTGAATGATGTATAGAGCGTTTCCCACACGCTGCTAGTTTCAGTTTTGCTTTAAATAAATTCATTTAGGCTTGACGTTTATAACAAATGTTGTTTATACAGTGAATTCCGCTATCATTTCTGTTTCTGTGTGTTCCTTTTTCTAAATAACATTAAATTGAAATGATTTGTTGTGGAGTGAGGAGTTTAATAAAATGTTTGTAAACATTTCAGGAGCGCTCTGCAGATCCTCGTCTGCTCTTCTCAGAACAACATTAGCGCCGGTTCGCCCCCTTGCCCCGTCTCCACCGCCTCTCCTTTTGTCTATTAATACCCTAAGAGCATTTTCCCCCTCAACGATTTTACAATTACTCCCGTCGTATTTCAGCTGCTCTCTTATATCCTGCTCTACCTTTATTGTTGTTATTATTCTGCGCTTAAATTTTATGGCACTTTCCCAAGTAAATTCTCCTGATAGTGTCATAATCCATTTATGAAGGCCTAACTAATCAATTAATGAAAATTGGAGCCACAAAGCCTGCTCTCTCGCATTGATTGAAAGTGTCAGCGCGGAGTCAGTGAGCCTGTTAAAATACTTGTTAACATCTCGGAATCAAAGTACCGAAGTTGAATTGCTTCTCCTGCAATTAGTTTATTGATTTAATTAAGATGCTTTAATTTAGAAGCCGCGCCAGAAGATTGGTGTTATACGAATGGCTAAGCATTATAGACAGCGTCTGATCATGACTGAAGAAAAGAGTGCTTGGGATTTTAGTTCTGCTCTTAAAGAGACACACTCTGTATAGCTGTGACATGATCTAATGCGTTTCTCATTTGAGCTCTTTTTTTTGTTTCCAGTGGTAAGACTTGCTCACTTGGTGGTCTGGGCGAAATATGATATAGGTGTAAGATGTGTTAATGTTTAGGTTACGTGTAGTATGCATGAATCCACTGGGGTAATGAGCATACAGTACAGTTGAAACATTTGCGCTTGTTAAAAGTTCTTAATGTTTGTGAAAGACGTCAAAACACGGAAGAATTTATGCTGTGAAATGAATTTCCATGTAATTTATTAATGAGATTGCAAAGCTAAATTTTCAGCATCATTACTCCAGTCTTTGGACTCACATGATCCTACAGAATCTTTTATTTACTGAACTAATGCTGAAGTCATATTCCTGATTATTATCTATGTTCAAAACTGGTTAATCTTTTTAAAACACATCTGTTTAGCTGTGCCTTTAACAAATGAGCACTGTGCTACATTAGATGGATCGCACTATTGATCTTTCTTTTCTTTTCTTTTCTTTCTTTCTTTCTTTCTTTCTTTCTTTCTTTCTTTCTTTCTTTCTTTCTTTCTTTCTTTCTTTCTTTCTTTCTTTCTTTCTTTCTTTCTTTCCTTCCTTCCTTCCTTCCTTCCTTCCTTCCTTCCTTCCTTCCTTCTTTCTTTCTTTCTTTCTTTCTTTCTTTCTTTCTTTCTTTCTTTCTTTCTTTCTTTCTTTCTTTTTAATCCTTTTGATTCTCTGATGTGTTCATATCGTATACTTATAGTGTGATTATTTTATGATTCTTTTTACCTTTCTGTTTATGTAAAGCCCATTGAATTACTAAATTACTATTGTGTATAAAATGGGAAATATACAGTTGAAGTCAGAATTATCAGCCACCCCCCCACCCCCCGCCCTTTTTTTATTTTTTAATTTCCCAATTTATGTTTTCACAATATGTCTGATAACATTTTTTCTTCTGGAGAAAGTCTTATTTGTTTTATTTCATTCCACTAGAATAAAAGCAGTTTTTCATTTTTTAAAAACCATTTTAACGTCAAAATGTTTTGCCCCTGTGTGAGCTATATATATTTTTTAGATAGTCTACAGAACAAACAATCATTATACAAAACGTTGCCTCATTACTCCAACTTAATTACCCAAGTTAAGCCTTTAAATGTCACTTTAAGCTGTATAGAAGTGTCTTGAAAAATATCTAGTGAATTATTATGTGCTGTCATCATGGCAAAGATAAAATAAACCAGTTATTAGAAATGAGTTATTAAAACTATTATGTTTAGAAATGTGTTGTAGAAATATTTTCTCCGTTAAACAGAAATTGGGGGAAAAATAAACAGGGGGGCTAATAATTCAGCAGGGCTAATAATTCTGAATTCAACTGTACAAAAACTTGCCTTGCCTTTTATTATTCTGTACATACACTGAGACAGAAACCATTTTTTTAAATTTATGGTTTCCCCCATAAAACTATTACTGTTAGTTTACCTTTTGTAAAACAAAAAAGTAATAAAAGTAAAATGTTATATATTCAAGGAGTATGTTTGGCATGTTTATAACAAAATTTTAGTCAAATGACAGAAAAACTGAGCACTCATGTAACTAACTAACTTGTAAGTCGACGAAAGCTTAATGTTAGGAGCTAACATTAAACTAAACTAAAAAGACAAAGGCTGAGTCCGAAACTGCCTACTACTCTGTAGGTACTACATTTGAACTTAATCATACCACTCGGCCGTTAGAAAAGTACGTTCTATTCAGTATGAATGTAAGCAGTATGAATGTAATTCGGACGTACTACATTCGCCATTTGCCATGGTCGTGTGACCTACTGTACTTGCATCAGTTGCGTCACTTCACTCCCATCCATGAATTCTCTTGTGTGGCATCATGGGATAGCGCAGCATGCATGGGATGCGCACTTCAGAATCTCGCCAGAAGTAGTAGGTTATCTGGGTACTTCTCACATACTGATTTTCGAATTCTATGAACTCAGACATACTACTTGAATGCATACTGATTTTAGCATACTATATAGTATGGAAGTATGCGGTTTCGGTTGCAGCCAAAACCTTTTTCGGAGTTTTGACCATTTTTCAAGAAAGTGAAAAGCAGACAGGAGGTTAAGTACTCACTGGCATAAGGAGAGTTGGCAGCAGAGCCATTGAGGAAGTTTGGTGATCCTCCCAGCGTGGTCATGCCTGCGTTGCCATATCCATTCATACTGGTAGAGACAGTGCTGTAGCTACTCTGCTGGGGGGTTGTGCTGGGTACGTAACCATGAGGGGACACACTGCTCGTGTTTCGACTGAATCCTGAAAAACACACACACAAGCATAATAATTACATAATAATTTCTTGAAAATCAAAATTAAAAAGAAAACAGTATAATTCATCATCTTTAGCTAAAAGTGCACAGACAACATTCTGTAGAGTGAAATCCTTAAAACAGATCTGTGCAAAGGGCAGGGAACAGGATCAACGTTAAAGACAGTATATACTGTAAATACAGTGTCACTGCTTGGAAAAAAAAAGCAAATATTATTTTGCAAATATTTAACAAATTAAATTTAGCATGTGACTAAACTATAGGTATCTCACAGCTATTCATAATGTTCTGATATAATGCATAATTTGTATGATGTCATTTGTACATTTTAGTATGATTTGCTCATATGAGGGGTTTGAGGGTATGCTTCCTTTTTAAAATCGCATGTTTTCATACAATCACATGAATTTGTACAAATTAAGGACTTTTTTGACAACAAGTAAAATAGTTAAATTTCTTTGTGAGATCAGGCTGGTTGGGTTTGAGGGTACGGTTTTTTAAAATCGCACATTTTCATACGAATAAAATCATATGAATTTGTATGAATTAGCCACTTTTCTGACAAATAAAACAGTTACATTTCCTTATGAAAACGGGCTGGACTAAATGTAATTACTATTACTGTAATGTAATTCATTCCCCAATAAGGGGTAGGTATAGTGGCAGGGTTTGAGGGCACGCCTCCTTCTTAAAATCTCATGTTTACGTACAAATTAGCCACTTTTCTAACAACACGTAAAATAGTTACATTTCCTCATGAGAACGGGCTGGACTAAATGTAACTCTATTATTACTCTAATGTAACTCATCCCTCAATGAGGGGTAGGTTAAGGGGTGGGGTTTAAGGGGACACCTTTTTAAAATCGCACGTTTTCATACAAATTAGGCAATTTTCTGACAGCCTGTAAAATAGTTACGTTTCCTTGTGAGATCAGGCTGGACTAAACGTAACTTTATTACGTTCCCCAATGAGGTAGGTTAGGGGGTGGGGTTTAAGGCCAAATCTCATGCGTCCTTTTCAAAAACTGAAAAGCAAATTTTTATACGAATGTCACGAATTAGCCACTTTTCTGACAACACGTAAAATAGTTACTTTCCTCATAAGATCGGCCTGGACTAAACGTAACTCTATTATTACTCTAATGTAACTTATCCCTCAATGAAGAGTAGGTTTAGGGTGGGGTTTAAGGGGACACCTTTTTAAAATAGCACATTCTCATCTAAATTAGCTACTTTTCTGACAACACAAAATAGTTATGTTTCCTTGTGAAATCGGGCTGGACTAAACGTAACTCTATTATTACTCTAATTTAACTCATCCCCCAATCAGGGGTAAGTTCAGGGGTGGGGTTTGAGGGTACACATTTTTATAAACACATTTTTTTGTACAAACTAGGCAATTTTCTGACAGCATGCAAAATAGTTACGTTTCCTCATGAGAATGTGCTGGACTAAGCTTAACTCTAATAATACTCTAACATAACTCATCCCTTAATTAGGGGTAGGTTTAGGGTTGTTGTTTGAGGGTACACCCTTTTAAAACCACATGTTTTCATACACATTAAACCATATGAATTCATATAAATTAGCCTTTTCCGACAACATATAAAACACTTTTCTCATGACAACGGGCTGGACTAAATATAACTGTAACTTAACTCATCTGCCAATGAGGGGTAGGTTTGGGAGAGGGGTTAGTGGCCACATACATGGACAGCACATTTTAGCTCTTAAGTGGCTTTTTAAAATACTCTTAATGTTTTATATTTTGTTACAGACATACAGTGTCATCCTGCAACTGTTTTGAAGCATATAAAATATCTCAAACACTATTTTTAACTGTCCAAAAAAAAATGTTTTTACTCTCTGATGGGTTAAACATGTTTAAAAAATTATATGTTAAATATGCATCAAAAAACAATCAGGAAAAAAAGTGTTTTATATAAATTTGGACCTCGAGTCCAAATATATGGACATCATTTTTCTCTAAAAGTACATCATATTTAAAGATGATACTTAGGTTTTTATTCTAAATAGGTTCCAATAAGCCCAAATATGAAATATAAGCCCAATGACATAATGCATAATTTGTATGATCTCATTTGTACATTTTAGTATGATTTGCTTATAGGGGTTTGAGGGTATGCTTCCTTTTTAAAATCGCATGTTTTCATACAATCACACATGAATTCACATGAATCATCAAATACTATGTGAATATGCATTAAAAAACAGTCAGAAAAAAAGTGTTTTATTTAAATGTGGACCTCGAGTCCAAATATATGGACACCATTTTTCTCTAAAAGTACATCATATTAAAAGATGATACTTAGGTTTTTATTCTAAATAGGTTCCAATAAGCCCAAATAGCAAAGTGAAATTAAAATCCATGTAATAAAACACATTGGGCCTTAAAAGGTTAAGGGGACATCTTTTTAAAATCACACGTTTTCATACAAATTAGGCAATTTTCTCAAAGCATGTAAAGTAGCTATGTTTCTTCGTAAAGCTGATCAAGCTGGACTAAATGTAACTCCATTGGATCCTAAATTCTCTGTAAAACCTCATATCTGCACCTTATCCCTATATTCTGAATAAGGTATCGTGCATATTTGATAACCTGGTGAATGGTGATGGAAATGTAATGAAATACGCACCACCTCAGAATTCGTTTACATTTCAACTAAGAATGAACGATGACAGAAAATTAGATTTTGGGCTGAATTATTCCTTAAAAATAGATCTTTGTGTCAGTAGCATATGGAGGCAGAGGACAGGGGACAGGAGGAGGATGTGGACTATAAATATACATCAGGACATTAAACGCTGACATGGGTGAAAGCAGCAGGAAGTTCTCGCTCCAGGAGTCCCCGCTGTCTGGTACAAAGGCAGCGCTCATCTCTGCTCTGCTTACTATTCATTCTCCCTTTCATCAGACCACTGATACATTACTGCTGACTTCACACAAATCATTCACTGTCAGAGAGGCCGAGGAGTGCTGAGGTAAAGGAGCCTGGAGGTTCAGGGAGCACTGCTGAACGCTTGTATCTGTCTGTCTCGCTGCTTTTCAGCTCTTCCCTAAGGTTTGAAGGACGCTGCAGACGACCAACTACCGTGATCTGGCACACTTTACTGCCACTGTACAGAATCATATTGACATAGAAGAGGGCTTGAAAGATTGGAATAGAAAGACTGACAATGGTATTTAGCAATAGTTTGTGGGTGGTAGGCATGTGACGGCTTTAGGTTTTCTTGTTGCATTGTTTACATTTGTTACATTGTTAGAAGAGACAATTTTTTTCTCAATTAAATTGCTAGTATCAAAAAGAATTGTAGGTAAAAATTTACAATGAGTTTTCATTGCATTTTCAACTGCAGACTGTAAGCTTTAATTTGAGGGTATGTACATCCAAATCAAGTGAATGGTGTAGGAATAATAACAGTTTGCATATGTGCCTCCCACTTGTTAAGGGACCAAAAGTAATTGGACAGTTAGCTTCTAAGCTGTTCCATGGCTAGGTGTGTATCTTGTTCATTTCATTTCAAATCCATTGTATTGGTGTATAGAGCAAAAAATGTTACAATTGTGGCGATGTCCAAATATTTATGGACCTAACTGTATTTACAGTAGGACATTTATTTAAACGTCTTCATGGAACAGGATTAGTTTATATATTAATGATTTTTGGCATAAAAGAAAAATCCATAATTTTAATCCATATTTTTAATCCATAATCAATAAAATTATTTTTTAACTATTGCGCTTGTATTTAAAAATATATATTTTTTGACTAATATACTTGTGCAACTTTTTTATGCTCCAGGGTCACAAATGTTTGCATTATTAACATTAACAGTCAGAAACAGCTATATTTGCTAAAGGCGCTTTATTAATGTTATACAACTGAACCTCTTTAGTTAAGACTTTTGATTTAATTAAACATTAAGTAATTAACATCCATTGGATTGATAAATGCTTTACAAGTAGTTCGTCATCAGATTACTTGAAAAGAAATCTTAAATAATGAAAAAAATATCAATACTAACATTACTAAATAAATACTAATTATTTAATAAATAAAATTATAAATGTAAAAAATATATATTAAAATAACAAATTGAAATAAATAATTTTATGCTATATAGTAATATATTTATTTTTACCGTAATTATTTATTGATTAAATATACAAAATTTACAAATTTTATTCATATTTATTGCTTGGCAAGTGTTAACTTTAGGCTTTACTTTATGCCACTATTAAAAAACAAAACCAACACATATATTTTACTTGTTTCGTTGTCTAATGTTAACAAAAGGAGCCTTACTGTAAAGTGTTAATGAATAAAAGGTCGATAAGGATCTCAACATTTTCCGTCAACATCTCTAGACAGGTCGCAGGCCAGATTAGCATGTGATAACGTTTGAAAATAAATAGGCTTTTAAGTAGTCAAGCAACTTGTGCTGAGAAAAACTATGTATACAACAATTTGAATATGCTAACCAGACATTAAAAGTTTAAATAATAAATCATTATTTAAACTATTTTGAAGAGCCATGTTTTTAATTACAATATTTATGACCCGGATCACAAAACAAAAGAGTACATTTTTGGAAACAGAGATTTAAACATCAACTGAAATCTGAATAGATAAGCTTTCCATAACTGTATACTGTACTTTGTTAGGATTGGACAATATTTGGCGAAGATACAACTATTTGAAAACCTGGAATCTGAGAAAAAAAAAAATCAAAATACTGAGAATTTGTCTAAATAAAGTGCTTACAATGCCCGTTACTAAACAAAAAATAGATTTTGATACAGTAGAAAATGTACAAAAAATCTTAACGGAAGACGATCTTTACCTAATATTTCAATTATTTTGTCATAAAAGAAAAAACAATGATCTGTACCCATAAAATAGCCAGAAATATACATATGCAACATAAAATGGGTCTTGTATTGTATTTAAAATTATTGCCTCACATCTAGTGGGTGGTTCCAAAAAAATAGCACACATGAAAGTCCTAGATATTTGTCTCTGCAGTCAGCCACAGTAGTCTTTTTTAGTGAAATATTTAAGAGTGCTGGCATCTCTGCTCACCCTGGTTGGCTGCTTGTGTGGAGTCGGACACATTGACAGCGAGTTGGCTGTGAAAAGAGTTGACTCCCATCATGCCGGAGTGGACTGAGCTGTTGGTCAGACCTGGCAGCTGGTTGTGTCCACGCGGGACATTGTAGAGAGCCTCTGCGATATCTGCTGCTCTTTTCAGAATGATCTCCTGTCAGAAAGTCAAACAAATCCATGATTAGATGTATATCAGAAAGTCGACAACTGCTTGAAAAACAATCTATTGATAATGATAGATTATATACATAATACCATGGAAAACAATAACAGCTACTAATGTAAAATTGTAAAGCAATACATTTTCTGAAATAAAATAATTAATTATAGTTAATATAATATTTTAAAACATTTTTCAAAATAATATAGTACTATTAGTAGTAATTATTTTTGCTAATTAAATAAATTAACAAATATCATTACTAATATTAATGAACCTATTAATTATTAGAAATATTTTTTTCTGTGCTTCAAACATTAAACAAATAAATTAAATAAATTAAATTATAACAAAAAATAAATTAAATTAATAATTTTGTTATACAATATATTATTATATAACATATAATAATAATAATGACAATAAACAAATATTATTATTAGAAATATATTTTTTTTGTACTTCAAACAATTAATTTAAACAATTAATTAAATAAATTAAATTATAAATAAAAAATAGTAAATTTTAATAAATAATTTTGTTATACAATATATATATATATATATATATATATATATATATATATATATATATATATATATATATATATATATATATATATATATATATATGTATTTAATAATAAGTAATTATAACATGTAATTTTTTGTTTGTTGTTAAATAGTCGCATATGGAAAAGCCTATAACAATAAATATGAATATAATTACTAGAATTTGAAAAATAAATTAATTAATAAATATAGTAATGTAAATATAGTAATGTCATGTAAAATTGTAATATAATAATAACAACAATAATAATAATAATAATAATAATAATAAACAAATATTAATTATTAGAAATATTGTTTTTTTTGTGCTTCAAAAGTTTAAATAATTAATAAAACAAATTAATAAATTAGAAATACAAATAATTAATTCAAATAATAAATTCTAATAAAAAATATGTTATACAATATATTATTATATAACTTATAATAATAACAATAAATTATTATTATTATTTTTATTATTTTATGTTATATAATAATATATTACATTTTTACATGACATTACTATATTTACATTACTATATTTATTAATTAATTTATTTTATAAATTCTAGTGATTATATTCACATTTATTGTTTGGCAAGTGTTTACTTTAGGTTTTTCCATATGCCACTATTTAAAAACAAACAAATAATTGCATATTATTTTACTACAGCACATAATTATTTTGCCATTTAATTTAAAGAAATAAAAATGAAACCTATGTATCTGCAGCCTATAAGTTAGCCAATAAACCAGCCTGATCTCACAAGAAAACGTAAGTATTTTACGTTTTGCCAGTTTAGTGGCTAATTCGTACGAATTCGTACGAGTTCAGTCGTACGAAATGGTACGATTTTAAAAAGGAGGCGTGGCACCTGACCCCACCCCTAACCCCAACCGTCATTGGGGGAAAAGCAAATCGTACTAAATTATACGAATGAGATCGTACGAATTCATACGAATTAGCCACTAAATGAAAAAGTTACGAATTGCCGTGAGATTGTGTTGAATAAACACACCTTCTCAAACACGACCATGTACCTAAGAAGTTCTATACATTATAGATATTCAAGAACAAATTGCAGAAATGTCATGTCATTAAAGATTTAATATTTAAGTTTTATCTGCCAGATAAAGTGCAAGAACACTAATTTAGAGGGTTGAAAGAAGGGGGGCTGCACATTTTGGTGGAACTTGAACATGTCATAATTCATCCTCATAAAGATGACAGGGCCGTGTGGAGGCTCCTGAGAGAGAGCTCTTTGAGTGGGTTGATGACTGGAGTCATGCTCCATCCACTGCCCAGCCTAAATAATTCAGCATCACTGCACTCATGCTCAGCTCTGCAATCGATAAGCATATGCCCTCACTCGCAGTTCATAACTGATCTAACATTGAAGATGCCCTTGTGGTCCTTCAAACCAATGAGAAAGAGAGAGCTTTGGTGGAATCACATTGAGGGATTTATGTGGAGGAAATATGTTAGGGAATATTAGAGGCCTTAAAGGTTTAATATGGCTCCAACCGAGAACAAATGCTTTTCTGGGATGCTCAATTAAACAAGTTAAGTGTGGAATATGGCATTATTTACACTGATCTCAACACAATAAGTGTCTTTCACTAAAGTGTCTTGCCTGATAGGAGGCACAGCAAGATCATTTAAAGTATTTGCTTTTTTATATGCAATTTTATAATTCAAGTTTCAGTACTATTAAATAGTTATGCGTTTCCAGTCATTTATAAAAAGGGATAGTGAATTTAAAACACACTGTATGCCCAAATTAATTTAGAACTACTGTCTAGAAACAATCTATGCACAAAACTCTTGTATAGATGTTCTGTGAATCTCACCTGATTATTGTGTGGCATCCCATATAGAGCCTCCACCAGGTCTGCAGCCCTCTTCAGAATCACCTCCTGTAAGACAGGAAGACTTTAGCTTTCAAGCTCTAAATGCACAAAACATAAATTTGAAAATGGATTTACAAGACAACAGATGATTAAAACAGACAATATACATTATGTTATCTTACAGACAAGATACCTTACTTAAAACAATTATTTTTCAGAAGACAAGTTTAACACCATGTAATTGTTTTTGAAACATTTAGAGCAAGGAAACTTTTACAGTATGTCTGATAATATTTTTTCTTCTGGTGAAAGTCTTATTTGTTTTATTTCGGCTGGAATACAAGCAGTTTTTCATTTTTTAAAAACATTTTGAGGACAAAATTATTAGCCCTTTTAAGCTTTACATTTTTTTGATAGTCTACAGAACAAACCATTGTTATACAATGACTTGCCTAATTACCCTAACCTGCCTAGTTAACCTAATTAACCTAGTTTAGCCTTTCAATGTCACTGTAAGCTGTATTAAAGTGTTTTGAAAAATATCTAGTCAAATATTATTTACTGTCATCATGGCAAAGATAAAATAAATCAGGTATTAGAAATGAGTTATTAAAACTATTATGTTTAGAAATGTGTTGATAAAATATTTATTTTCCGTTAAACAGAAATTGGGAAAAAATAATATATATATATTTTATTTATTTATTTATTTTTTGATGGGTTGCGGCTGGAAGGGCATCCGCTGCATAAAAATTTGCTGGATGAGTTGGTGGTTCATTCCGTTGTGGCGACCCCGGATTAATAAAGAGACTAAGCCGACAAGTAAATGAATATATATATATATATATATATATATATATATATATATATATATATATATATATATATATATATATATATATATATATATATATATAATACAAACAATAATTAATATTAATCATGTCAAAAATTTAAATGATTAAAAAAACTAATTACTACAATTTACGTATTAAATAAATAGAGCACATATACAGGGTCCACCCAATGCAGTACAACTGAGATGTACAACACAATATCATAGTTCTCTATCTGTTTACAATAAATATTTAAATGACCACACGGTGTGCTCCATGCTGTAACTAGTCATCAAGGCTGAAATCCATTTTGATTGATTTTGATTGATTTCTAGTTCCTTGTGTCACTTGTGACGAGTACAAAGAAACTTACAGTACAATTACTACAGCAGCAGTCTCTTTGGAACAATATCAGGTTAAGTGTTTTGCTAAAGGGCACAATGCAAAAAGGGATCTTCAGTTCATAGATCGCCCACGACAGGGTTTGAACACGTGACCTTTGAATAGCTAGCCGGTAGCCTTGACCATCATTTACGTCTCGGAAAACAGCCTCTGTATTTCATCTAGTTCTTCCTATCAACAGCACCGCCACCATTTCCATGTATAATACATGAACACAAACACATTTAACTCGAAAACATGCATGTTAGCACATGCAAACGACCACTCCGCGGGCGGCATGAGCTCCACTATCGCTATTTTCCTTCCAGGTAATCGACTTCCATAACCCGAAAACCTATTTATTACCATCCTTTTCACACATTAAACATTTATTTACAGTGTTCTTTACACTGTGTATTCATTTCCTTTCTTACAAGCCCTCTTCTTTGCTTTTTTTTTTTTAAACCCCGAAGCTCCAGTGGAACCCTTTTTAAAAGTTAATGTGCTGGTGCTGAGGAAATAAGCTCGCAGTGCGACAACCAGAAAATTGTTCTCACCCTCGGCGTGTAACCCTCACTGCGAACAAGCCCCCGAGCATGTGTGCCTGCCTGCCAGCCGACATATTGCCTTTCAATCAGCCCCCTCCGCCTCCACCCGGCCGCCCCAGACGCAACACACAGACACGAACATGACGAGGGGGTCAGCAAAGCAATAAAGATTTTTAGTGCGCTGTCCAAGGTGCTAAATTCACTCAATAATGGGAGCTCTGGCACTGCGTTAACCCCTCGTTAGGGGTGCTTCGCGGGGGAGGCGCCCGTCTCCGCTCACCCAAGCTCGGGTTGGGTGATTGAGAGAAGCGCGGGAGCCTGGGGAGGCCTAAAGTGGTGCTTTAGTATGGATGTGTGACTCTCTTCTCCTTTACCCTCTTGTTGGCGGGATGGAGGAAGAACATAAGGGATGGGAAGCATTAGTCCATGGCTCGGTCCCCTGCTGCACCGGCACTGTGTCATTTATCCAGTCCTTCGTTCTCTCTCTCTCCCCCTCTTTCACACTCGCTCTCCTTTGTTCTCATCCTTACCTATCGATCTCCTGTCATTAGGATATTGGGGAGGGGGGATCTGTTGAGAGGGCAAATCCAATAAGGAAGGGGCCAAAAGTTTGCACAGATAAACAAATAAATGCTATTAGCACAGGCCGTGTGTGGTGGCCCTGTGTCTGGAAGCAGAGCCCATTTCCTGGGCGAGTAGCAGGGCTTCCAGTAAGGGCAGAGCAGGGAGCCAGGAGCGGTAAACAGGAAAGAAACCTGATCTTGGATCTGTGCTGTGTCTGAATTGCTGTCTATCAGTCAGAGCCATCATAACCAGTGCTTTATCCTACCTCCCCCTGCTTCTACATGAGCTATGAGGACCCGCTCTGCGTTTTGACCCATTCCGAGAGTCTTTAGCAGCACCCTGACAGGTGTTTTCCCAGCCTTGTTTTCCATCAACGTGAAAGCTGAGACGTGTATATACATTCATAGTAGTGGTATAAATGCGAATGTGTCCAAGCAAACAACCCCAGGCGTAGTGTTTGGAAGAAAATAATACCAAATAGCCCAGAGCGCAGCACCGTTAGGACCAGCCTCCGCATTAATGTGTGCCGGACATTGAATCTGTTCCTGTGTGTAAATTATGGTGGCTGGTAATATGATATACATTCATTAGGAAGGGGACTGCTGAAAAAATGAAATAAGGCCCGGGTCACATCTGGAATGTTAAGGCAATGGCGTCTGCACATTTACAAGGAAGCCAGGCCTGTAAAAACATGACAAATTTATTCCTGTGCTTGTTCATTTGCAATTTTATCATCTCCTAATGTTCTATTAGAGCAGTAATACCAGCGGGGTCACCGCCGTCGCTCATGCGGAACGGAGCCGAGTGATGATGTCATACTTCCTGCTCTGCTTGTCTGACCTCATGGACTGCTGGTCTTGTGGAGGTTCTGGTTTTAATAGCTCAGTCGAGGTCCCACACACTAGATACAGAGCAGTCACAAACTAATTTATATATTAGTATTTATAATATATGTGCATTATGCAGTTTATACAGTTATAAGGCTAACTGGTTCAAATATAAGCAGATTAATTACATGATATGCAAGATATAAAATAAATAAATAAATAAATAAATAAATAAATAAATAAATAAATAAATAAATACAGTTGAAATCAGAATTTTTAAACCCCCTTTGATTTTTTTCTCTTTTTTAAATATTTCTCAAATGATGTTTAACAAAGTAAGGACATTTTCACAGTATGTCTTTCTGGAGAAAGTCTTATTTGTTTTATTTCGGCTAAAAAAAAAGTAGTTTTAATTTTTTTTAAAAAAAACAATTAAAAGGTCAAATTATTAGCTCCTTTAAGCTATTTCTTTCTCTAAAGAACAATCCATCATTATCAATAAATTGCCTAATTACCCTACCCTGCCTGGTTGAACTAATTAACCTAGTTTAGCCTTTAAATGTTACTTTAAGCTGTATAGAAGTGTCTTGAAACATATCTAGTCAAATATTATTTACTGTCAGCATGGCAAAGATAAAACAAATCAGTTATTAGAAATGCGTTACTAAAACTATTATGTTTAGAAATGTTTAGAAAAATCTTCTTTCCGTTAAACAGATATTAGGGAAAAAATAAACAGGTGTTAATAATTCACAGGGGTTTATAATTCTGACTTCAACTGTAAATAAATAAAACATTGCATTAAAAGTAGCAGACAAAAAACAAAAAAATAAAAAAGAAATAAATAAATGAATAATATATATATATATATATATATATATATATATATATATATATATATATATATATATATATTAATATATATAATTAGGTTTATATAATTAGGTTTAGACGTTTTATGTGATATGTGATGATAAGGTTATAAGCTGGTAAATAAAATAACTTTTTTTCAAAAATGTCACTTTAGACAATTCTTAGATTTTCTTTTGCATTTTCTTTTTGCGCCAAAACCTGCTAAATCCACTAGCTAAAAATCACTAAAGATGTTTAGAAACCAAACATAATACACATTACACAAACCACCTAAAATAAAACACACAAATCTGTCAAGTAAGTGATGGTTCTTTCCCTTGTGGTAATCTTTGATAAACCAGAGACTAAGCAGAAGGAAAATAAATTAATAAAATCTGTTAAGTAAGTGCATTAATCAATAACATTACAAATGAAAATAATTCTAAACAATCTGTTGTCATTCTTGTTAGTTGGGATTTAGATGTAATGTAAGTAGAGGAATGTAAACATTGCAAACATTGTAAACTAAGCTTGTTAGATTTAAATCTAAATTTAAAGAACGGCATGTTAACTTCGTCTTTCGTAAGATGCAGTTGCTGTTTAATGTAAAGTAAATTGGACTCATTCAAAGTATCACAAAAAACATTATGAAATCATGCTACACTTCTGACTGTACAGTGTGTTTTCTTTTTCTCATAATGCACAGAGTTTTGAGGAAAGGGACGTTTTCATTTTCCATTCACTGACAGACAGACAGGCTAATCCAGCTCATCCAGTTCATCAAACTCCATCTTTTAAAATCGAAACCGAAATCGATTTGCGCCTTCTGATTGGTTCTCAGAACATAGCGGCTTTGCTGTCAAAGGCAAGTGGCGTTTAGAGACTTTTGCAAACAAACTGTTATTTCTGAATGTGCTAATCCTGGCATTTAGATGATTTGAAGAAAAAACATTTGTGGAAGATGCACTACGTGCCTAAAGCATTCACTCAATCTCAATGTCGTTTAGCGACTGGCGTTGGAACTCGCGTTGGAACACTTCATAATATATATCTATTCA